AATGAATTGTTAATCTTTAGCATTCACCTTCACACTTAATGACAAGGATTTAGTGACTGTTTCTATAAGAATTTTTTTTTAAAGTATTGTTTTTAATGTCCATCCCTCTTCCTACCCCTCCTTTCTGGCAAATGCTGCCACAGTGGGAGAATATGACCCTTACAGGGGGGTGCTGATCCTGGCACTGGTGCCAGCAAAGCAGCGCACGCCCCAAGCTATTGCTGGCTGGAATACAGGTTTTCCCGAGGCCTCCGTCGGGTGAAATGAAACAAGTGGAGCCTGTCTTTTCTTTAGGTTAATGGCTCATACAGTGGGGAACAGTATTTTTACCTAAATTTATATTCTTGTAGTCATTCTGTTACTCTTTAGGCTAAGTATTTAGACCTCTGTTATCAAAGAGGTTGGCTTTGGGAATTTGGTAGATTTTTTTAACTCAGTAATTTCCAGTAAGTGGCACTTAGAATTATCTGGGGGCAAATTCCAACATAAACATATTACAGATTCTGCTTCCACTCCTAGCCTACTAAATCAGGGTCTTGGTGGGGCCTGGGTATTTTGTAAAAAGCTCCTTTTATGATTCTGGTAATCATTTGCACTCTAGGGAAGAATGAAGTTTTTTTGGTTTTTTGTTTTATTTTGGTACTGGGGATTGAACTTGGGTCCTTGCATTTGCAAGGCTAGAATGAAGTTTTGCTTTGGTAGCAGCATTAGCTTAACTTCTGCTTAGCCCCGTTCTGTACTCTGAGTCAAATTCTTGAAAGATACATGGTTTGCAACAGGAACAACTATGCTGCTCTTGCAAAAGCATTCTGAAAGTCTGTTTAAATCTTCTCCTTTTTTTCACTGCAGGGAGAGGTCCCGTGTTAGAGAAGGCTTGACTCTTTCCCTGTCCTTTGTCACCTCGCTTGTGTGCTGTCCCTTTTCACTTCCAGTTTGTGAGAGTAGGTACCAAGAATGCCACAGTAAAATAAGGCACATTAAATAAGTAACACATTAAAAAGAAAGGAAGGCAGGTGATTGAATGCCCCTAAGTGAAAAGTGGAGAGGAAATCAACCTTTTTATTTTTCTCTCCCTTCCTTAATTTTTTATTAAGCAGTGATGAAATGAGATTATTTGAGGATAAACAAAAAACTGAAACTGTCTCTTGGATAGAAGTGGAGGCTGCAGCAGTTGCCCACCCACATGCTGAGTTTCTCCAGAATAACACCAGGGGCCCTTCCAGCCCTACACATTGTTCTTTGCTTCCCAACCAGACTCATCCTAATGTCCTCAGTGGGCTCTGCAGCATGGCTGGTTCCATTTCTGATCTCTTTTACACCCTCTTGCTCCAAGCACCCCACCCTCCTTCTTACTTCCCCCAGGCTTGTTTTAGGTCCTCTTCCTTCTTTGTTCTCTAAGGTTCTTCCCAAGCACGTAGATCCCTCACATTGCAAAATGGACTTTTCTCAAGTTGTAAACTCTACTAGTGTTCACTTAAAACTAAGAAAGAAGAAAAATGTCTTACTGTCCTTCTGTAACAGTTTCCTTCCCTCCCAAAATATTGACTAGGTATGACGTAGACGGAAAAAAATATCGCTTGTGTATTTAGCCTGAAGATGTAGTGTTGCTCTGCCTCCTGTGAAATAGCTCTCCAGTCTGGAGATGAGTCTGAAGAGAAGTGTTCTGAGGGAGAAGGCATGTTTCAGCTGAGTGTTTGAAATGAACATGGCTTCCCTTTATTGCTGACTCAGCTTCTCCGTTATTTGTATTTTGTAACCAGAAAAGCTGTGCAGCTACAGATGGACTAAGTTAGGAGATCATTAAGGCGGAGATTGTCTGTTCATTTGTTCCTGTATCCTCAGTGCCTAGGACAGTGCTTGCCGCAGTGTAGCTGCTCAGTAAAAACTTAGTGAGCAGAGGCCAGGGATTTAGCTCAGTGGTGCTGCCGCCTGCCTCACAAGCACAAGGTCCCGAGTTCGATCCCCAGTACCAAAAAAACCCAAAACTTAGTGAGCAGTAAAATAACAAACTGCTGACTAGGAAGGAAGCAGTACACATAAAAATAACGTACTTTTATAACTTTATCAGCTTTATTACTTGGTTTCCTCAGGAGCGTGCAGTTTTTTCCTGTATTGTAACTAGAGGGACTTACAAAATCTGAGGGATTTTGAGTGTTCAAGGCAACCACTGGAAGTGGGAATGGCATAGTAGCAGTAGAACATTCAGAGAGAAGTCACAGGCTGGAAGCCTAGCAGGCAGGGGTCCTTTAGTGTAGGGAAGGTTGATCCTGAAGTGCTTAGTGTTACTGTTCAGGGAAGGAATGGGGACTGGAGAACCATCACCTAGAGCAGCAGGGAAGTGTGGGGGCCACCTGAGCCATTAAGTCCGAAGAACCCTCTAAGAATGTTGCACAATGTGGTACAGTATGAGGGCCTGTGTGCGTAATGGTAGTATACTTGCTTCATTTTAGTAAAATAAACATGCATTTTAAAAAATACATTTCAGTTAAAGATGACCACATGTAAACACTTTGGTACATTAATAGTTTTATCTTTTATTAAAAATATGTCTTTCCTTGAAAGTTTGAGATAAGTGTTAGTGACTAGATCCATAAAGAAGTTGGTAAAGTGGACCGTTAACCGTGTTACTGATATTACTCAAACATACAAAGCTGTGGAAATGAAGGATGAGGTATAAGGCAATGCTTACTTGGTTCAGGCCAAGTTGATACTTTGTGAATTCATATTTTAGTATCCTTTTGAGTACTTTCCACTTCTCATTTTGCATCTGTCTTATAAAACTCAGCATGTTTAAACAATGATCTTGAAAAACAATGTTTTTTACTTAATTTTTTTATTGAAGGATAATAGGCACACAAAGAAATGTACACTATGAATTGTCACAAAGTCAAGCCAAGTTATCAGCATCTAGATGAAGACAGTGAACATTACCAGAAAGAACCGTAGAATCCTGGCATCTCTTCAGTCACGGGCCCTTTTCCCATGCACCCCACTACCCTGACAGTCTAATAACATAGTTTAGTTTAAAGCAGTGATATTACCAGTTCTCTGAAAAATTTTGGAGATACCTTTAGTGAGTTTAAGAGAAAGAGGAAAGAATCATGAACACAAACCATTAACCGTTTGTTTCCCTTTCTAAAGTACTTGTGGCTAGCCATGATTAAATTAGGTCGAAGTGCCTGAGCAGTTTAGTTTGTGTTTGCATCCCCATGTACTCGAGGACCTTGTTTTTGGAAAAGATAGAAGCTATGTATTTTATATTTGGCTCTCTTCTGATGAGGAAAACAATTCTGTAGTTTTGGCCTGGCTTGGCCATTTGATTTTTTTTTTTTTTTTTTTTTTTTTTGTACTGGGGATCGAACTCAGGTCCTTGTGCTTGCAAGGCAGGCGCCGGAACCACTGAGCTAAATCCCCGGCCCTGATTTTTAAATTTTTCATCTTTGCCAGTTCTAGTCAACATAGACCTGCTGAGAAACAGTTCTGTGCCTTGTGCTGAGGTTGGTAGATTGGAAAATGCTGAAAAAAGTGTAGATATGGTTCCTCTTCTCAGGATCTCTATTCTTAATCTCAAAGAGATTAAGGAAACAGATATGTATGAGGGGTAGTTGAAAACATGGTGTGTGTTAAATTTTAAAAAATTTATTACAGTAAAAGACACATTGTCATTAATCTCCCTCAGAATATTCCCTGTCACTTTGAGCATACTTGTCCTATCATTCTTGCCATCTGACTCAGTTCTGGAAGTCTTTTATGGGTGTCTGTGAAGTGTAATCAAACATATAGTGGATGCTACTGCTGAGTGCCATTCAACAGAAAGGCAGGCTCATAAAAACATTAGTGTGTCCTCATCCATCTTAATCACTGGATCTGGCACGATGTAACTTCCGGCTCTTCCCCAAAGTCAAAATGACCGTGAAAGGTAAATTTTTTTTTTTTATACTGGGGATTGAACTCAGGACCTTGTGCCTTTGAGGCAGGCATGGTGCCACTGAGCTAAATCCCCGGCTCAGGTAAACATTTTAAATTGGTTCAGGACACCAAGACATTCACAACAGTGTCATTCACCGTTTATTTTTTGTTTTTGTCTTTTTTTGGTACCAGGGATCGAACTCAGGTCCTTGCACTTGCACAGCAGCCGGTGAAACCACTGAGCTAAATTCCTGGCCCTGTTCACCGTATTTTTGATTATACTTTGTACATCACTTAAAGAATGATCCATGCTAGATAAGGCCCCAGTGTCCAAGAAAAGCTTTATGTAAGGTGAGATTCAGCTTGGTCTTTGTTTTTTGGGGGGTTTTTTTTGGTGCCGGGGATTGAACTTGGGTCCTTGCACTTGTGCAGCAAGCGGCAAAACCACTTAGCTAAATCCCCAGCTCAGCTTGGTCTTTGGTCTTTAATCAGAGGCAGGGTCTGTGAGATAGGAGGAAGTGGGAAACTAAAATAGCAGACCAACTATTTCAGTTTTAAGTCCATTGTTAGAGAATTTTATATGTATTTTTAACTTTTGGAGTTGAATATTCAGGTAAGAAAGCACTGGTGGCACATAATTTGTATTTTTAAAAGTCACAAAAGCCAAATTTATTTAACTTGTGAGATAGATAGTATTAAAATCTAGATATATAGGGGAAAAAGGGTTAACCTATTAAAATTCTGTGTAAATACATCTGTTCATGCAGCATTAAACTTTTCAATATATTATCACTTGAGTGGGAGTAGGTATTTCATTAGTGAGTTTAGAACAATTGCAGTTATAGTTTTCATGAAAAATAATTATACAAAAATCAGCACATGATGAAACACGTATTTATTGAAGTTAAGCTTAAATGTCTGCTACTCTGAGATCAGGTAAAAAGTTTAGAGAGGGTGTGTAACAGGTAAAGAGTGACTTTGGGTTAATTCTGAATAATCTTGTGCCAGAACTGTCAGAGGATGGTGTACTGAACATAATGCCTTACATATGAATAGCACAAATGTGAAACTGTCTTTTCTCGTTTCTACAGACAGGCAAATGCACACTGGGGAGCCCCATGCTCACGTGACATCAAGAGGAAACGGAAGCCGGTGGCCACGGCATCTGTGTCCAGCCCCAGTGCAGGTGATTATATCAGCTGCCATTTATTGAGCACCTAGTGTGTGTGTCAGGCACTAAATTGTGTGTCTTCTGTGCTCTTTGTTGGTAACTTAGATTGTTTTAGTCCCATTTTACAGAGGAAAACCAAGACAGTAAAAAGTAATTTGCCCAGTTTTCTCTGACCCTAAAGTCTATGGATTTTTACTGTCGTGTGGCCTTCTAGAGTTTATGGTGGGTTTTTTTTTTTTTTTTTTGGTACTTGGGACCTTGCGCTTGCGAGGCAGGTGGCGGCACCACTGAGCTAAATCCCCGGCCTGGCCTTCTAGCATTTGAAACCTTTTATTCTGCCATCGACAGTCTCCATTCAACTGAGCTTTTGTTCTGGCACAGACAGAAAATTAGGTTCATGTTAATGAAAATATAATTGGCAGTTTGGTCGACAGTCAGGGATTCATGTGGGCTCATTTGGTTTCTCACTTAAGGTACAGTGCTATACATTCCCACTGGTTTTATGTGTAGGACAGTGATAGTATGTTTAGAAGAGTGGTTGTGAAATTTCTGATTAAAAGCAAGTTTTCAGCTGAGGGTAGTGGCACACACCTATAATCCTAGCACTCAGGAGGCTGGGGGATCACTGTGAGTTTGAGACCTGGGCTACATAGTGAGCTCAAGGCCAGCCTGAACTACATAGCGAGTCTGTGTCTCAAAAATCCAAAATAAATAAATACAATTTTTCATCTTAAAACTTTTTATTTGTCTTTCTGTGAAAAATGAATTACCAGTTGGTATAAGGTAAATTAGTGGTTGTCTTTGGTAGGAGGGTAGTGATCAAGAGGACACAAAAAACCTGGGGTAGTGGAAATGATCTGTCTCATGAGCCAGGCAGGGGTTACATGGGTGTTTATATGTATATTCTTTAGCTGCACACTTAAAACTTACATATTTACTGCATGTGTGCGATCAAGAATGTTGGATATGGAGTATACCATAGATTCTTTTTTTTTTTTTTTTTGTGGTACCGGGGATCGAGGCAGGTGGCGGAATCACTGAGCTAAATCCCTGGCCCTGGTACCAGGGATCGAACTCAGAACCTTGTGCTTTCGAGGCAGGCAGTGGCACCACTGAGCTAAAACCCCAGCCCCTAACATAGATTCTTTGCCCTTAGAAGACAATAATTGGTTGAGTGTACCTAATCTAAAAAGAAAATCTGAAATGCTACAAAATCTGAAATTTTTGAAAATTTCACACTTTATTTCATATGATGGGTTGCAGTTAAAACACAGGCACGGTAAAAATTTTGTATAAAATGACCTTTAGGCTAATGGTGTTTATGAAACATAAGTGAATTTTGTGTTTAAACTTGGGTCCCATCCCTAACATGTATTTGAAAATACTAAAAAATACAAAAAAATACAAAGCTTGAAACACTTCTAGACCAAAGCATTTGGGATACGAGGTACTCAGTCTGTGCTATATATTATATAGGTCAGAGCGGTTGATAGCTGAGTAGAGAGTAAATCTCAGGCAAATACGGAACTGTACCCCTTACCTTTACTTACTAAATTTCAGCATTTGGAGAATTCAACCTCTTTGAGCTTCTCTTTGGGGTGACTGCTTGATGATTCATACTGGATAATCTTAATCACAGCTCTGAGGATTATCATAAATGTTTATGGTGCTTTTCACATGACTAGGCCCTGAGCTGAATGCATTATTTCACTTAATCGGTGCAACAGCTTTGTAAGATAAATTCTGTCTTTATTCCCATGGTTACATGAGAAAACTGAAGCATAAATCACTTCCTGTCATTGCATGTTGATAAAGTGCAGAAAAGGGTCAAGCTCAGACCAGTTTTTCTGATTCTAGCGTTGCCCTCTTGGACCCTGTAGGTGTTCTGTCTTTGTGTACAATGGAATTCCAAACTGGGACCCTGCTTGAAAACTCAGGTCCTCATCCAGTGTATGGTATTTGAAACAGTAAAATGAATCTCTCCTCTTACCACCCGCCCCCCATGTCTTTTACTTCTTTGTAACAAAAGAACCATTTAGAAGAGTTTAAATTGTTTATCCCATATTCACATAGAGAAATGCATGGGGGGAGTTAACTCATTTATGCTGAAGGTTGTAATTTTTTGAATTTTTTGCATGAAACTAATGGATGTTACTAAGGAAAAAATCAAGGAATAAGAATATGAAGAGAAAATTTTTATTGTGTTGCATTGTTATTTGCCATTCCAAAAATGGAACACTAGGCATAAAAGGATTAAATTAGACTTCCGTTAAACATTTCAGCCACTCAGCCCAACTCCTCTCCTCTCACTTGTTGACTAGTCCCTGCTTCACTGAGCATTTTTGTTTTTTTCTGCCCACAACCTGAGTGCCCCATGGAGGTGAAGGACATAGCCGGAGCCTGCACCATCAGTCAGTAGAACAAATGGGCTTGCTCTGCCTAACATCGGGCCATCTCGAATTCCACCTCTTTTATAGAAATGAGTGATGAAGAGAGGTGCGTCCCGCTTTGCCGCTGTATTAATACACATCAGGGGCCAGCTCCTGGCACTAAATCACGCTACTGCATACATCTGTTATCGGACTCTTCACCAGTGTGATGAACAAGACTGCAGATAGAGGCTTCCTTGTGTCATTCTTTATAGGATTTTCCTAAAAGAATAAATAGCTTAGATCTCTGCCAACACTCTCCCCTGTCACTGTGATGAATTCAGCTTCTTTCTTAAGCATGCAGCCACAAATCTTCCCTTTCTCCTCTCCCCCACCGGGAGAAAGTTTTTAGTTGAAATTGACTGAATTTAAAGATATTAATAAGGCTAGAGAGGTGAAGAGCAGGAAGGAATGGCATGTCTTCCTTGTCTTTTTGTTGTAATAGTGAAGGGAAAAAAAATCCTTTCATAGGGTCACTGAGTGGCACTTTTCTTCTTAAGACTTTATGAAATGCAGGTGTCTTATGTACAGTGCCACACCCTGGATCTTAGTGGTTAAGTGTGCAGACCTGCTTCTGAGGTTTTACCCAGGGGAGGGATTTCCCAGCAAGTCTGTTTCATGTTGTCATGGGCTAGGTGTATATTCTCTTAAAGAGTGTACTTGGAAAAGAAAAAAATGATGATTTTCTCTAAAATTTGAGGCTAACTCGCTGTAAGAAACTTAAAGAACTCAGATGAAAACCAAATGTCATTTCCTTGAATTGATTTTCTTAGAGTGATAGATCAGTGCCATTGACATGCAAATTCTAGTCCTTCAAAAAGTAAACACAGGGTTTTAATAAAGGAGAATTGATCAGAGATTCTGTTCAGAGCCAGGGGTATTTAGGCTACTCCAGAAGCCTCTTCTGACCTTCCTCTCCCTGGAATAGGGTATGTGCCCTGAGAACTTCATTCAAAGGGTATTTAGGAGTTCATTGCTTAACTAGTTGTGTCAGATTCCAAATACCCAGACAGTGATACTAGGGCTGCATTCAGAAGGGCAGAAATTTTTATCTTTTACTCATTATTACTCCCTCAACATCTAAAAGAATACCTAGTTCATATAAAAGCCTCAGTAGATGTTTGTTTGAATAAAGTAGTAGTCTCTTAAAGTTGAAATAGTTGTTTTTGATACTATTCTAGTGCCATGGTAAATATTGAATGTTTGTAAAAGAATATTTATAGCAGATCTGCAAGTATGGAGAAAACAAGAGAGCTAATATCCATGTACTCGTTACCCTCTTTAAGAAAAATGACATTAACTTTAAAACTTTTGTCCCACTCTCCTCAGAAGGAATAGTTATCCTTATGTTTTTATTGTTTATCTTTTTTGTGTTTTTTAAGTAGTTTTAACAGACATATGTATCTCTAGGCAATATGTTGTCTAGTTTTGCATATTTCTGAACCTTGTGTAAAAGACTCAAACTGTACATCATACTTTATAAGTTTCACTGAGTTTGTTCTTGAGGTTCATTCATGTTTTGTTCTGCCAAAATTCATTCATTTTATCTGCCATATATACTGTATTCCATTGTGTGAAGATGACATCCCTTCACATACACTACAATCAGATATTGTTAACGGGCATTTGGATTGTATCCTGCTTTATGCTTTTGTGAAAAATACTGTATTCTTCTCTTAGAGAACAAGTGCAGATGTTCTAGGCCATCTCACACTTGTTAGGATGGCTGTGTCAAAAAGCAGAACATCAGGAGTCAGCAAAGATGTGATTGGAACCCTTGTGCATTTCTTATGAGAATGTAAAACAGTACATCACTATAGAAAACAATATGATGATTCCTCAAAAAATTAAATATCAAACTACTGTATGATCTAGCAATTCTGCTTCTAGGTGTGTACGCCAAAGAATTAAAAGCAAAAATTTAAATACAGTTATATACCCACATTCATAGCAGCAGATTATTCGTAGTGGTCAGAAGGTGGATAGCCAGGCATGGTGGCACACGCCTATAGTCCCAGCACTATGGCGGCTGAGGGACGAGGGTCACAAGCTTGAGCCCAGCCTGTGCAATTTAGTGACTTAATAAAACCCTGCCTCAGAATAAAAAAGGGCTGGGGATGTAGCTCAGGGAGAATGCCCAGAGTTCTATTTCCAGTATCGCCCCCCCCCAAATAGAAACAACCCAGATGTTCCTTGCCAGATGAATAGATAAACCAAATGTGGTATTTACACATAATGGAATATTATTCAGCCTGAAAACCTTCACTGTACAGGAAGCTGTTACAACATGGATAAAGACATAAGTGAAAAAAGCCAGGTACAAAAGGACAAATATCATATGATTCCACTTTCGTGAGCTACCTGCAATAGTCAAATTCATAAAAGCAGAAAGGAAGGGCACTTAGCAGGATTGGAGAGGGAGACATGCAATTGCTTAGTGGGAACAGAGTTTCTATTTGAGATAGTGAAAACTTTCTGGTGATAGATGGTGGTGATGGCTATAACAATAGCGTGAATGTATGTAATGCTACTGAACTGTGCACTTAAAAATAGTAAATCTTATGTACAGTGTATATGTCACCAGAATAAAAGTAACACATACACACATACATGCACACACATACACAAATACCTATTTTTTGAGGGTAGAGTTTGTCACTAAGGTTTGGTAACCATGCAGTAAGGATAGGTACAGTTTTGTGAAGTCTGTTTTCAGTTAAATATGAATATGTATTTATGAATCTTGGTGAGTGTATGAGAAAGAGACAAATTTGAGTTGTCAAAAGTATTTCTTGCTGCTGTGATTGATATTCCAAAACATTTAAAAGCCTTTTCAGTCAAGAAACCCTGTATCTGTGCTGTAAAGTTAATAACTTTCAAGATTTTGTATGTTACCCCTCAGTAAGGCATTCACATTTGAATATATATGTGATGCCAATGTAAATATGAAGTAAATATGAAGCCAATGTAAAAATGAAGTACTTTTCATTGAGGAATAATAAAGTACTGGTCATGACTCACTAAGTTGATTTTGTGACCCATGATTTGAAAATTACTGGTCTAGGTTGCATTCCTAGGAGAAGAAATACTCTGTAACGGGAGAAAATCTAAACTTTACTATATTTGCTATATTTTAATGTATATTCATTTTCAGTGGAGTGAAGAGAGAGATGCTGCTTTGTATGACTCCACTTGGGCATGTGGAGAAATGCTACTGCCATTCAGTGGACAGGATCTAGAATACTAAGTTTTCTAAAACATGCAGCACAGCACTGCACAAGCCATGATTATTCTGTCCAAAATGTCATCAGTAACTTTGTTGGGAAATACTGTGTCTGATAGTGTTATTTTTCTACCATTTTCCTTTTTGTCCATTATTTATTGGTGACTTTATCATACCAGCGGCCTGGAATATGGCAGAAAAAGCATAGAGCTTGAAGTCCAGTATCTGAGTTTCAGTCTTGCTGCTTGACCAGCTTGGTTGCATCTGTGGACATGTTGTCTGATCTTGCTACAGTCAGTTCCCTGATCCAGAAAATGGAGACTATAATATTTACTCCTAAGTATTTGCATTAAGAAAATCAGGTCTTGAGTGTTTGATGTTTAGTAGTATAGTGCCTGGCACATAAGTACTTTTAACTACGTTGTGAGTTTGTACTATTGAATTTACGCATTTGTTCAGTTAAGCCCATTTTCTCAGATGCAGAGATACTTTATCCTATTTATTTTGGCCTTTATTTTTTCATAAAGATAAGAAAAATATTCCGTAGGTGCTTGGGTTGACAGACATGAAATGTAAGGATTAAAACGTTTTTATTTCTAAATGTCTGTCGTTCTCATTTCTTATTCTGCTTTGTCTCCCCTAAATTGTTTTTATCCTTTTATTGTTGCAACCAGTTCACATGGATGCAGTGGAGCCGACCACACCAGCAACACTAGGCCGGAAATCTCCAAATTCTGAGTGGTTGGTCCGGACCTCTGCAGCAGACAAAGCCACTGACTCAACTACAGCAACATTTTTTAAAATGCCACAAGAGAAGAGTCCTGGGTGCAGCTAGGGAGTTCAGTTCCCCCTCCCTGGCAGCTGACTGAGTGTCTTATACAGTCTTGGAGATCTCAGTGGAGATTCCCAGTTCTTTCACCTCCAGGATTCCAGGACTGACTCCTCTTCACACACAGCAGCCAGCTCTCTTCGAAAGTCGTGATGCGGGAACCTTTTTATTTCTTTTTAATTAGTAAAGTATGGAGGCAGCAATTTTCCTGTTTTAAAGGCTATCCTATGCTATGTGTGTTACATTATTGCTATCCTACCACTCACCTGCAGCTCTTTATATAGCTGTTGATGTCTGTAGGTAGGTCTTCTTAAAAAACGAGTAACTGCTTTTGCATACCTTTTGTATACAGCCTTTGGTGTCACTTGAGGAAGGCCCAAATTTGCAGCCAGTCCAAACAAATTCCTGCATGGAATTGTATCTGCAGGAGAAGAGACTTGCCTGGAGCCAGTCTCGATTCCCTCAGAGTGCCATTGAGACAGATATCCGAGTTCTCAGTTTGCCTCGAAAGAGACAATAGGAGCCAGGGCTTGGGAACTTCTTCAGTTTTTCTGTGGATGGTCTTGACGGGGTCACCAGCAGCTGCACTGTACTTTACCTCATCTTCAGCATTTGTTCTACAGAAAGTGGACACATCTGTATGCACAGATGGGTGTAATGAAGAAGATGGTTTACCTTTTAGAGCTTTCAGTGATACAAACAGCTCACTACAGCACATGTGCCATAGGTTCGCCACCACTGGTTTAGGTGTACAGCAAACTTAAATAATCAGCAGATTGTGTCTTACTACTCCGTGTCACAGTGTAAGCCTTTATGTCCTAAGATGGGACTTTATTGTTAGTGTTATATATAGGTCAATAACCTGCAGCAGAACTTCATATTCTATTATAATAATGGCTTCTTGGGGCCATGCTTTGGAGAGGAAAAATGTCTTTTTGATATGCCTTTGTACTTGGCATGTTTATGACGACTCAGCTACGTGTCGAGTTATACATACAGTAGTGCCTGAAGTCAGATGCTACTCTGTCAAAATGAGGAATCAGTGACTGCCTGGAGCTGGTGGAGAAAAGCCACACTTTCTAAAAAGTATTACCAAGAGTGTCTGTCATTGAGGGGCCTGGTTGACAGAAGGGCTCTTTTTTTATATTACTTGAGTGCTTTTACTCTGAAATACTTGGAGCTGTTTGCTAAATTCTTTCTGCTCTAGTCATGTGGGAAAGGAACACTCAACTCTAAACATGGATGTTTTGTTGGATGTAGGTGTTGAGAGGGCTGGACCTTCTTGTCCCAAAGTGCGATGGTCCCTTGCTCACAGAATGTATTTCATGGTGTGTTGCTTTATCATGTTCCCTTTAAAACTTATAGTTCTTATCAGTAGAACTCTGGAATTGCTTTATCAAGGAAGTGGGCAGGTGGGAGAGTGTGAATCTGGTTGGAATGGGGGATTGGAAACTAAGTTTACATAGCACTTTATGTAAAACCAGGAACATGTCAGTTGACCATGACAAGGAAAAGGGTGGAAGGAGAGGGGATTGGATATTATGGATGGGAGGGAGGTAGTACTGATGCCAGCCCAGCACTCTGGAATCATCTCTGGTTCTCATGTTAGAAGTGAATATACTGACGAGGTATCAAGGCTGCACTTCCTTTCCCTATGGGTTGCACTCACAGAGGTACAGAAAATGTCATGTCTGTTGGACATACAGTAGCGCTACTGACTTGTTTTGATGACGAAGGTACATTTTATTATCTATCATGTGTAGTGTCACCTAGTCCTCACAGTGGTCTGTGGCACATATTTCTAATGTACTTGGTTGGATTTAAAGAACACATTTATGGACACAAGTCTTTTTTCTTTGTGCCAAGCTCTGTGGCTCATGCAGAGATTAGTCCTGAGATCATGGTCTGCTACGGCCTCAGATGCAGAGGGAAAGCCAGCATCTTTTCTTCATGACCTGTTGCCTACTATCCCCCCTCCTTTTTTTAACCCACACTTAAAATAATTTATATATGTAGCCTTATTTACATTTTAAACATTTCTATGAAGTCATGCCATTTTACAAAGGTGAAAACAGTCATGGAGTTGAGTGACTTGCCCAAAATCACATGACTAAACCTGGACTAAAATCCCAGACTGGAGACTTTTTTGCCTTGGGTTATACTCTTGTTTTTTCACTGGTAGACCTGAGCAATCTGAGACCCACATTTATGAGCTTGCCATGAATGTTTATCGTTTTTCTTGGGTGTGCTTTTCTATATAGTTTAAATACCTTTCAACAGGGATCACCCAAGAATGCAACATCTACCTAAAATAGATGGGAAGAAAATTAGTTGCCCAAGAGAAGAGAATATTAAGCACACAAATATTTTCCAACACAGGGTTATAAATGACTCTTCTCATTTTAAGGTGCTGAATGTGCATGCTTAAGGAATTAGTAATCAATTTATTCTGCTTGGTTTTTTTATATTAACCAGTTCCAAAGGCTAACCGTAGAATCCAGTGTATTTGAAATTTGAAATTTGAAATTTCCTCTTTATATGACATAGTATATAATGTTATAAAGTAAGAAAAGTCTGTTACATTTCAAGATACAGTTTCAAAATTAGATTTTGTAATAAGTGTTTAAAAAAAGGAAGCATGACATATTTGATAATTGTGGAACTCATATGTTTGATCTGCTGAAACATCTAACTGAAGGTATGTTCCACAGTTTTTATTTCTGAGTTCTGATTTATCCTAGCTTACTGCACAAATTGTCTGAATCCTATTAGTTTTCCAGTGGGAAAAAGTCAAGACATTATCTGCTTGCATGAGAACCATTCATACAAAGTTAGTTTTACTTATGAATATAAGAGAATTTGAGATTATTCATATAAAGTTAGTTTTACTTATAAATAAAAGAGAATTTGGGATTAGTTTTCAGATGGAGTATTTTAAAAGAACAACTTCATTTGTATCAAAACTTGTCCCTTTTTGGTAAGAATTGAGGAGAAGAAATTAGCAGCTGTTTGTAAGGTTCCAGATTTGGAGGGGGGAGAATATGATTTGTACTGAGTGGAAGTGGTTGGGAAATAGGCCACATTTAGTCTTGAATTCTTTAGAAATCACTTGCAAGTAAACATTTCAGCTAACATTGTGTTACTGGCCTATGAAATAGGCTCTAAACAAGGCAGTGTTGGAAGCTGAAGTGGAGCTTCTTAAACTGTTACTCAATGGATGGCATCCTTAGTTTAAAAAAAGCTCAACACCTAGGGCAAATAATTAAAATAGGAATCCCAGGTAAATTAATCTAACTTGTCTTCATTTTGGAATTAGAGACCATACATATTCCTTCTACAGCCTGGGAAGTTCTGATGGTGCCAAGTTATCATGAAAGCCACTTGGAGTTGAAGAGTTCCAACAGTGTTGAGGTAAAGGAGCTTGGCTGGCCCAGGCTCTTCTAGTGTGATGGGTTCTGCATTCAGTCTCCAGGGGAAGGTTCCTGGTGGTGTGTGGTTCATTTTAGGTTTTTGCTTCATTTTCACTTCATTGCTGTGGTTCTGAGCCACACACTCCCACTCTACCCTTGGAAGGCTATGCAAAAGTCTCAGCTTTTAAAAGCTCTAGTTAGTGTCCTGCAAGTCTTCTAAATCTTAGTTGAATTGAGCACAGACTGAACTACTCCAGCAGCCACGGATGCAGTGGAGGTGAAGCATAGTTTAGAGCATGTGCCATGTTTGTGGATGGTGGGAGGGATGGTAGTAGCACTTTGTTCATGTCCTCTGCATCCTTTGTTGATGCTTGAGATAGATACCAGTTGTGCTTGTCAGTATTGCCTGCTCTCTTGCTCCTGTTGAGACAGCAGAGTTACTGCTGCCGGTAACAATCAGGACTTGTTCCAATCCATCAGCAGCAGAAAGAAGAGGTGAAGAAAATGGTAAGTCTCACCATCAGGCACTAAACACATGTGCCCAAAGATGCTGTCATCTCAGATCACAAGAAGACGAATGTCCAAAGCCTGGAAACAGCAACACTGAAAAGAAATAAGATCAGCAGTATTTCTGAAGAGTGCGCATTATAAACCCAACAAAATTATTTATGACCAGAAGAACAAATATTCCTGCAAATAGACAAAATCACTTAGCAAAATTGCCAGATGTGGAGAGTAAATTTTTTCAAACACAGTATTGAAGAATGGGGCAGATCCTGAAGATATTTACCAAGGCAGGCAAAGAGGAGACGCACAGAACGGGGCTTCTCAAAGTGTGGTCCCTGGACCAGCAGCCTTCTCCCCCACCAGCCCTCCTGAGTCGGAAGCAGGGTGAGCTCCAGCAGGCTTTTATTTAACATATCCTACAGGAGACTCGCACACTCAAGTTTGGGAACCATGGGTTTGCCACAGTTAAAAAGAAATGTTTTTAATGTGCTGGTATCTTAGCTAAGCTCTGAACTGCTGTTCTGTTTCTCTGTAAGTAAAGAAATGTTTTGTGTATGATTCTTTGCAGAAATTGTTAATGTCTTTATCTTCCACATTTCCCCGCAACAAGTTCCTGAAAAATTGGAAATATTGAGAAAGGACAATGTGGAGAAAAACAAGTCCCTATTTAAGTGGATGGAAATAACTAAAAATGGGTAAAAATATAGCAAAGAATTTTTAGTCTTTGAGTGCTAGTCCTTGTTCATAATTGACAGTAAAAATATTTGTTTAAGATACCACCCCCCACCCTGAGTAACAGTATTTTCTAGTGTATCTTAGTTTCAAGGCAAAGCATCATAATGACTTCTTTAAAGTATGGTTCATAAAATGAAAAAATAATTGGAAGAAAAAACTATTTTGGGTAAACAGCAGGTATGTAATAAATACCTGTTGAGTTTTTTATAATCTACTAGGACTTAATCTCAGTACTTCAGAGCCTGGAAAAATCAATTTTCTGCAATCCCACTTATACTTCATTGTCTTTGTTTTATGTTTCAGCTAGTTGAGTGCAGGGGTTAGAAACCATTAAGCAATATGCTAACTTTGTTGTCTGGCTCAGGAATTAAGTATTTCAGAATCATACCCTAATTTTTTTTTTTTTTTTTTTTTGAGACAAGATCTCACTGTGTAGTTCAGGCTGGTCTTGAACTCATGGCAGTCCTCCTGCCTCAGCCTCCCAAGTGCTGGGATTACAGGCATGTCCCATTAATTTTAAAACCATTAATTTGAAAATAAATTGGGACTTTTTTTTCCTGGTAGTAATTAGACTGAGCTGTGGCTCGTTGCCAAAGCCCACAAACCTGGATTCTCAAACACAATTTTTCTCTCTCATTTTGAAGACCAGTTAAAAATTGCTGTGGCCAAAAAAGTCAGTGTTATTAGTTATCCTCAAGCCTTTTACTGTTTCTTTAAAAGTTACTTCTGACTCTTGCAAACTTCTCCCTGAAATGGAATAGCTCTGGTAGTTCTGCCCATTTCACTATGGATAGATTCTGCATCTTGTTCCTCCCTGTAAACCAAGAAAAATTTTTTTTACCACAGAGCAGACTGTTGCCACCCCAAATCACAGCAACAGTTTAATTTCTCAATATGAATCTCAGTCAAGTCCCCTCCTGTTATCGGGGCAGCTTTTACAAACCTGCCATTTGAAACCCATGCTGCCTCCACCTCTCAACCTCAGCTGCTAATCCCACCCTCTCCCACCAGGTAGCAGCCCTTCACTTACCCCTCACATCTTCCCTCTGCCTTCTTTACAAGCGCCTGCCCTGCCCAGGAAGTCACTTCTGTGCACTTGGCACTGTCCCTTGATCAATGCCTTGCTCAGTCTACAGACTCTTACACCCCCTCACATGCAGTTTTGCAGTTGTACTTTAATGTGTTCAAAGAACTTCAACCCTTTGAACCCCTGCCTACCACAAAAGTATCTGCCCTCCCTTGCACTCGAGTCTAATAATTCTTTAGTCCACTGAAACAGCAGTTTTAACCCTGGCTGTGCTTTAGGATCACCTGGGGTGCTTTAAGAAAAATAATTCCCCAACTGAATGACAGGTTACATCAGAGCAAAGGGGAGGGATATCCTTCAGTCTTGAAAAGGGCAGCAGGAGCTGAGAGGCAGTAGGCCAAAACCTGGCCACTACCCTTACTGTCATTAAAATTATTCTTGCTTGGTTCTATAAGTGACTTTTAGCTGCCAAAATTTAGTCCTTAGTTTAATCTTTATGGTGTTGGTATTTATAACTACTTCCTTTGTCAAGAGCAGGTTAGAAATGGGAGAATTTCAGAAGAGGAAGTGGTTTGCTCTTTCTCTATTTCAAGGGGTGGGCAAATGGGTTACTAGTCTAGCACAGGCTAGAAGTCTGACTTTGCCTTCCCCTGCATTACTTCAGTTAACTCGTACATGCTAATGAATTCCCTTGCCATGCCACCTTAATGCTATAACTTAAAGCAGAGATACACAGTGAAGTAGTTAGATTTATTAATTATTGTAAACTTGGTGGAAAGCATACTCAGACTCTCTGCAGCTTCCCTTGCCTTCATTGTTCCTCCTCCAAATCCTTTTACTAAAGTAGGAGAAATTACTAATCAGATTAGAATCCAGGATAGATCATCCCCCTTACTAGTGGGTGGAGTGGCTATTCATGGGAAGTCAGGGTTAGACCATGTCCCTCTTCTGCTTTTTCCTTTCCAGGGTCATGGGTTGGCAAGGTGTCCTGAGCCCACTTCTACATAAAAAGAGGCTCCCCTTCAAGTGCTGATAAGTTTATATTGCTGATAAGAGTTTGGATTTAGTGATGACACAGGCCCAGTTCCTTACCACTTTTCAGTTTCAAGTACCATGTTGGGTCCTACTATCAGAAAACTGAGGAGGGTGTTACAGCCCTACAACTAATAAAGTGGAACTTGATTTCCATTTCACTGCCATCACTGTGCTGCCTTGGATGTGCATATGTAGGACCTCCACTCAGGAGCAACCCTATATATTCCCAACTTTTTTAAATGACTAGTTTCTAATTCAAAATCTAGGGTAGGTGGATCCGATGAGTAGTCATGTCTTAACTGCAGGAAGAGAGGATGAGGTTTTCTGGAATGTTTGACTTCTATTGAGGATGGAAGAATTCCTCAAACACAAGAAGGTCCTTCAGGGGCTGGATGGCCAATAAAGATTGATCTGATGGAGGCTTTGCCTCTAGCGACTGATTCAATGAGCAATCTCTGAGCACCAACACCAGCAGTGCATCTTCTTCAGAAACTTCTTAGGAAAGAGGGTAGCTGGCTACTTAGACCAGGATAGCCCAGGGTTCCTTAGACTCCTTTGAAGCTATTAGACCTAGGGATATTATCATCCCCAACAATAACGGTGAATATTTACCAAATTATTGTATACCACCTGTAAACAGCATCTCACTTATTCCTCCACAACTCTGAGGTAGGTACTTGTATCTTTATTGTAAAGCAATGAAATCTACTTGTAGTTATTTAACTTACTCAAAGTCATAGCTAATAAGCGTCTTCCAAGGTTCAAACTTAAGTCTGTGTGATGGTAGTGTAACTGATCATAACCAGTACCTCTGCTGCCTCTTTTCACAATATAAATAAACTGTTGAAGGCCGTGTACCTGAGAAATAACTAAGTCTCTGGGCCCAGGGCCAGGTGTCTGGTGAGATCCTTTAACTTGCTCCTGGCAGGCTGTTTTCTCTGTCCAGCAACCGAATAGGCTCATCCCCTCTCTCTGCCTACAGCAATGAAAGGAAATAGCCAGTTTGTGTGACATCTTCTTCTAGTAATGCATTTTTGCTTTTGAAAGTGACCAGAACAAAAGAAAAGTCAATAAAATCTTTCAAACCAAAGTATTGTCCTTTGGGTACCAAGACAAAACCAATTCCTCAGCCAGGAGGGCATATGTTTTGAGTTGTTGATAGTGGTGCTGTTTTGAATATATTGCAAAACAACCCCTTGTCTGCTAGCAAAATAGCTGCCTTAAGTCTTGGCTTTTAGAAATGCTCCTATTCCGTAGATGTGCGTGGTTCTCATTTTATGCCTGGCACTGCTAGGATAAGAGAAAGATTATTGCTGTCTTTTTTTTTTTTTTTTTTTTTTTTTGAGACAAGGTCTATGCAGTTTAGTCTGGCCTCGAACTCACAGAAATCCTCTTGGATCAGCCTCCTGAGTGCTGGAATTACAGACATGTACCACCTCGCCCTGCTTCCTGCTGTTTTGAAGTACATAATCTGAGTAGGGGACGAGAAAAGCATTACAATGTGAAGTGGTAAGTTCAGGCTAAAAATATCAGGGCATTTGAGTAGTGAGGAGAGGGCACTTTAACTCAAGTTGGCAAAAAAATGGAGTGTAAAAACCATGAGTTCTGAAGGATGAGCAGAGGTTAAGTGAGGAGCAGTTGAAATCCTTCAAGGGTAAAAAACATGGTTTATTCTGAGCACAGTGAGTATTTTGGTACAGTCTACAAAAGCATATAGAAGAGCAGGGAGAGGCAGGTATGTGATGGAAAATGAAGGGCCTGTGTTCACTCGCTGTGGAGAGCTGTGTAAATCCTCTGCTGAGGTCAGTGGTTGTGGGAACGCCGCTTCAGCTGGCCCATTGTACAATAAGCAGGAACTGACGTGGGAACACGTGTATATCCCCCTGATCACCTTCTCTGGGAAATGTAACCAGGGAGCTACTGACATGCTTAAGAGTAGATTAAATGGAATTGGAAATAACAGTTTACCCATGGCTGAATATGTATTCTCTTCTGTGTTCTGGCACACCAGTCTGAGGTTATTTCCCTTGACCCACAGAGTTTAATGCATGTGTGACAATCCCGGTTCCTAGGGCTATTCTTCAGCAGCAGAGCTGTTATTACCAACTACTGGCGAAGCATTGTGCTTTGTTTTCAGTAGTGACAATAAGTTTGCATTGTCCCATTTTAGACTGGGCACTCTTGCAATCTTCGATATTTAAAGATTGCAGCGAAGTGCTCAGAAAGTAAAACTAATCCAGCTGATTTGTAATAAGCTTTGATCTCATGGTTCTGGTCTCATTAACACCATGCTATAAAGTTTGCTAAACCTATTGAAGTTGTGTAGAAGTGAAATAGGTGTTTTGGGCCAACGTTTTTTCCAGAATATCTTTTGATTGCCCATCACTTTAAATTAGGAAATTTTGGGGGCCAGGGATTTAGCTCTGGTTTCACTGCCTGCTGTGCAAGCACAGGGACCCGAGTTTGATCCCTGGTACCAAAAAACCAAACAAACAAATAAATTAGGAACTTTTGCACATAAAATAGGAAAATGACTTTTATATTCTATTAAAATATAGTAGGGAGAACAAATAAATATGCTGATTTCATTATTGCTTATAGTAGGTAATTAAGATATAGTGGCTAAAGAAAAAGTATTTAGAGAATTCTGTGAAAATATAGCAATAATTCCTTGAAAAATTCACACTTAATTTTTAGGGAAAAAATGACATGTACATAACCAAACTACAAAAATGACAAATTTTTAAAGTTTTATAATAAGACCAAACATATCTGTCATATGAATAAAAGATAAAGTGTTGAGCAGACACTAACTGCAGGTTATAGTTCAGAATGGTTCAGAAATGTTGGTTAAGGTAAAACAAGCAAAAACAAATGAGAAAAAATATTGTAACTCAGTATCAGCCAAGGTTGAACTAAAAGCAAAACAAA